CCTCCTCATACGATCTTCCTGACAAACGCTTAAACCCTTCTTCCAAAACTTGTGATGTCATACGAGACCACTTTGCATCAGCATCCAGTCCAGTAGTCCGCGAACGAGCAAGAAGATGTCCTTTACTCAGCCAGTAGTGCTTAGTGACGCGGGTTTGTGTGTCTTATGGCGTCACTTCTGATGTGCACATGTAAGTGACAGAAATGTTTTTTGGAAATACTCTAATTTTAAACGTCCAAGACCCGTGACCATTGTAAAGATCATCAAGCATTTAAGTTATGCACCGGTATATACCGGTCTGGATGAAACACATCTACGTTCAAATCTCCCCTCGTCTCCTGGTCAAGAGTCAAATTTAGTCGTCTCCAGCCATTGTTAATCGTTTAACTTTGAAATGACAAGTTAAATATTAAAATAACTCCTGCTACCCCCTAACTCGTTAGAAATTACTCAACCAGGAGTGCCCTACGATCTATAATCTGGTGATCACATCCAAAATGATTGATACCCTGCTCTTGTGGTAACAGCAGTTACTTATATATGCATCAGCTTTGATTCGTTGGCATCAATGCAAGAAACTCAGCTTTGATCGTCAGAATTGTCAACTGAGGATTTGATACTTGTTGTTCGGTGGACGTGCTGATCCTCCTAACTCAAAGATTTCCTGGAAGAAAACGGAGTTAAGGACGGTATAAGTCTAGTATCCTACTTTTGTGAGTGCAACTGACGAAGGAACACGACCTTTTACATTTTAGTATACTATCGGATTTGATTAGACCTACATATAACTTCTGCTGTAGTGCCAGCCAGCAAACTAAACGTGACTAATCAACTACAGCAAGCAGAGAACTTTGTTCTTCATATTTAGAAACAAAATAAGGAGTTATATTACAAAAGCAATAGCAAACAGTGTTCTGTGAATCGTTACGTATGTGCAATTTTAGCTGTTTTCCTTGAGAACCGACGAATAACAGAGGAGCACCGATATCAAGTGTGTTGGTCAATCCTCAAATCCAGCTTTGAGACAAACCTTCTTAATTCATCAGAGATATGAGCTCATCCGCTACGACCCCTATTTCTTTATTATATGTATTTTAGGAGAAATAGCGGTGTAGAGCCGTGTTTGAAAAATAGTCCGCTGATGTTTTTTTTTAAACACTAAATGAAAGCCGTAGAGGTGAGCTTTTCTAGACTGACCTTCAGCGTTTTCTTGCATAAACCTTCGGTGCAGGATACTTCCTTGTGCGGTTATTACTTTGAACCGCGTCTCGTAAAAACTTTTTGTTCTATTCTTCCTTATTCTGATTTATGCTAACTGGAAACTGGAAGCAATGAATTTTCTCCTGATTTTCTAAGGCTTCATGCTAGTGATTTGCTCATATCGTCGAAAACCTTTATTACAGTTTAAAACACAGTTTTAAATTTGCTTTGACTAAAATACTGTCGTTGATCCTTGAAAGAATCTCCTAGCATACCCTTCGAGTGTAGATTTCTCAACATCCGTGATGAAACAGCAGCACTTTACCTTGCTTTTCGTAAGAACGTTTTGTTCTGGTAGTAGCAAGACGACTCTCACGAAATGAGAGTAGGCACCGCCATATGTTAGACATGATTAACAACTTATACTCTTATTTTGATTGTATCCAGTTAGAGTCACAACTGAGGTGATGTTCCAAGCTTTGGAAGTAGGGACCTAAACACATCTGAACCTACAATAATCAATCTCAAACGGATGTCTAATATACAGATTTCAAGATTGATTCATCAGGCGCATATTTATAAGTCACTTCTTACTTTAAGACCTCGAGAAAAAAAGCCAAATGATTCATTTCACTGCTTCTGAAGTCTCACTGTCTATATCCATTCTCTCCAATCTGAAACGCAGTTCAAATTTCTACCAATTTTCCTCGAAGTTCTATATATAATATCCCAAGTCGAAAAAGGAACTTGAGCCTGGCAAAGCTTCATATGAACACAGTTGCATCATACGGATCTTCAATGCAAATTAGCAAACTTTTAATCAACACAATAAATCCATGTTTCTTCAAAACATGTTTTAAGTACACATCTTTTAGGGTGTTTGGCTAGAGTTGCTGCAGTATCATAATTTTAGTAGTCCAAGATAGAACATTTATATAACACTTCAAGGCATCTTCAAGCTGAATATGAAGACTTATACATTTCTTGATAAATAAATCTTTTTATTTCATATTCCACTTTTGCCATATAATCAAAAGAGTCCTTTCTTTTTCTCTTATCATCACTTCCATTCAAAATTATCTTTTTTTATGCTCTAAAAATCAGTTGATCAGTTATCAGATAGATTTCCACTTTCAGTTTGAATCTACTGGAAATGTGAAAATGGTCGACTTCGTCGTCTAGCCATACTGAAATATTATTTTTTGTTGATCAAGCCGATAGATTACAAATTCTATGCTAAAAATCAAGATAACATATTACATTTGAAATTCTGTTAGGTAGTGGTTCTTAAAAAATAACACCACAACTGTTACTTTTACGCAGATCTTGCACGAAAATTTTCACCTCACAGTTTTACAAAACCATTATTATGTTAGAGCTATATATCTCATTTGTTTCTTGTGTTACAACTCACAAGTCATCGACCTACTGAAACTTTTGACTTGTTTTCAGTTAACCAACTCACTTCGAAATAATGAGGAAACAGTATCAGGTTCAGCAACAAAATTTAATGGCAGTAGATTTTCAGTCGGGAGTTTTATCTGTATTGACGTATATCCAACCTATCAAAATCTCGTATTACAATTATTTTTTTAATTTTTAGATATAATGGACACCTTCAAGGTTACATTTGTTGCCTCTCGATTAAAAAGCAGAATCTTTTCTTTGACTTACTTTCATACAAGTGGTTTCCTTCTTCACTCAGATCAGCTACTGCTTCAAACTTTTGTTCTTTATTGCTTCATCGTCCAGGCTCTCGTTCAATGTCTTCATTCTAATACATAATCACCAACAAAACTTTGCCTTATTGCTTGGGATGGGTAGAATCTGGACATTTACAAGGATATGAGAATTGAAAGAATTCAAATCTGGCGATTTGAATGAAGAAGTCGACATTGTCTTTTGCAGAAGACAGAGAAATGCAATCTATTGCACTAATGTGTGAGATTATAGATGTACCATTTGCAGAATACAGAGAAATGCAAACTATTGCACTAATGTGTGAGATTGTAGATATAACATTCACATGCGTTGTGATTAACCATTACATTCGATAGGAGTGAACCTATCTGACATGATTAGATAAACAAGCAGTTAATTTGAAATATTCGGTACTATTCTGAGAGCGAATTCCCATTTTTTATGAACAATATATATACATCTACATTGAGAATGATCCAATTGATACATTCTAGGTAGAATAAATTAGAAACTTTTAACCGTACGAAGATTGAGTTGGAGTATTCACCGCTAAGATTAATGAGCCTTCTTATCAATGTGAACTATACGACCCTCACTCCTGAGTTCTGCGTCACACTTTTGAAACATTGTCGCTTATTACTTGGTAAATCAAGCTAACTTACGTATACTTTCGTATTAAGTAGATATACACGTGTATTTAGACGGAGGAACTTATAGTCTTTTGTTGGTTCTGCGTACCTTTATTATCTTTCAGATCCTGCCTCTGGCATTGTAAAATTACCTCGATGAAGACTTGGGTCTTCATTTGGGTAGTTTTTAGAGATTCTATAGTTTCACCGTTGTGATAGTTCATAAGATATATCCTATCATGCACTTGATTACGAGGATATATCCTACCATGCACATGATTACGAGGATATATCCTACCATGCACATGATTACGACCATCACCAAAAGATCTTATCAATTTCGGGTTTTACTACAGAAATTTAATACCTGCTAAATATTGCATCACTTTTAAAAAGTGAAGGTTGTGAAGTGGATAAACAAAATATATGAAGACACCATCAAGGAAGAAAAAGTACATACTTTTTACAGTTTAACTTCTTGTATTGGACTCTTCGGCTAGCCTTACTGCAATGGATCAGATTTTGCAGAATCTAATCTGTGAACTCAGAGGTCAGTTGCTATTGGCAATAAAGCCTCTCCGCACTTTATTGGCAAGACGATCTCTTGGCTTAAATTGTGATCCCACAGTAAAACAAAATCCGAAGATACGGCATGAAACAAAAACCCTTCCTATAATGCATGGTGCTCATACCGTCCTATCTTCGACCTAAGTTCAATCTACAAATCGCTCATTTGTACGGCAGTTTCCGGAAGTGTAGTACGTGGATTGGGCGCTTGCAAAATTTAATTCGACTTCGAACAACTTGGTGTATTTCTTGTCACTTGCTAGCGCACACCCAAAGACATATCTGGGTTTGCGCGTAGACAATTTCCCCTTGTCATGCTGACCGATTTTCATGTCAAAACAATCTTTTCCTTCCTGTGCGAAAAAACGTACGGTTGTTTCACTATTCAGCTGACAGACATTGTTAAAGAGACAAATGTTTTCAGGTCCGACAGTTAAGCGCTCGAATGCACATGACGGACACGTTGACAAAACATGTTGTAACTACTTTACAGTCAACCTCGTCTTCTCAACCAAGAATATGACAGCAACAGATCAATTACGACATACTACAAGGCAAAAATTATGCGAGGTAAGCGGACTTCAGCAGCACGGTTGGGCTCCGTCCACTGTAACTACAAGACGACTTCGTCTTTTAGGTACAGTGGACCCTAATACTCTCATGGATAGATTGGATGTTTGACTAGAGAAACTCTTCATTCCCAAATCGAATTATTACAACTACACAACCCGTCTGACTTGTCCGCAAAGTAAACAAGATGCGACGGATAGGTTAACAAACCGAAACTAAACCCGTTGCGTAAAAAGAGAACATAACGAAGCTTTGACTGGTCCGGGGGGAAAGAGTAGCGAATGAAGTCCTTCTGCGAACTCATTTGCGATTGACGGACCTCCACGAGAAGATCAGAAGTTTTTTATTTCAGCCTTCCAATCCCATCTACACGTTCTACAACGCCTCAGTTTGGTCATCTCTCTTCAGAGCTATTAGCTGGAGTAACTATACAGTTCCTCTAAGCGCGAGAATATTAGAAAACAGAACGAAAGAACAAGCCAATGGCCGGGACAAAACAAGCACACGTGACTGATTTTCGATTTCGAATTTCTGTACTCGCAAGACTTCAAAGATATGCGCCCAATAAACATACTTCTACGAAACTTCAAAGATATCGTCCCTTCAAAGCGTTCAGTCCGCAAGTTTTCACAACATGCCAAGGTGTTGATGCATCAACATTGCGACGACGAAATTTGTAATACGGTAGATAAATGCAAGAAAATAAAACCAATTTATTTTGTATATTGCTTTTCATACTCGGACCCAATGGCATGACCATTCTAATTGCTCTCTGGAAAGTCAACCAAAAAAGAAACTTCTTCATTCATCCGTCTGATCCTCCCACCCGAGAAGCTTTACAAAACAATCCCATGCAATAAGTTGACAAAGTGCTTGATGCTGGCTTCTGCGAGATACCCAAGTGAAAAGCTTTACCACAACAGTATCAAGCAATAAATCGACAAAGTGCTTGATGCTAGCTGGTTCGAGATATCGAAGTGGTTGCGTGTACATTAATTCATGACAAAAAAATATTAACTCTATCTGATCCTCCATGGTGTTCAAGAGATGTCGACAAAAGTATCTGATGTAATCGACATGAATTGAAGACCTCAAACGTCCTCTCCATCGAGACCAAATCCCCTCGTTTGTGTACAGACTTTGACTACGACCTTACGGGCTTAGAGAAAGAAAACACAGGGACCTGCAAACTTGTATAGTACCTAACTAGCTCCACAATTAATCTCTTCTCGTTTCATCCTCACTTCGAAAAGCCTAGACTGTTTACCACCAAAGTGCTATAAGTGAAACTCAGAGCAAACCTCAGTTTACAATTAGTGGAGAAAACACGGCTCGCGATAAAATAAAAAGGGATTGCTACAAGCACGAAGAAATTCGGATGCCTTTTCTAGCTAGCTCAGGATTCAAATATCGTCTTGCGAGATAGACACCATACTACTCATGGCATCACGAATCTAAACGCCGGCAGAAATTTTGGATTGAAAAATTTAGCTGTAGAGGCTCTTAATTACTTTCGTCCACTAATCTAGACTATATAGAAGTCACTTGTCCTTCAAGTACAACCTCACTATGCCGATTCAGAAAGTCCAACACGTGATAAAGTCCATGAGAAAGTCCAACACATACCTCAAAGACGAGAATATTTGCACAAGTCTTCACTAGTAGAGCCACTTAGCACAGTAACAACAGCGTACACAAATCGGCATACAGCCACCAATGCGAACCTTTCAACATGCTATGATAGACAAAAACTCTAATCTGATAGAAAGATTTCTGCGTCTTCATACACCCTCCTCAAGAAAGACGCCTGCTAACCTGCATTAGACAAGAATGTCAGTAAGATATGATACAGTAGGGGTGTATATATATTACTTTCATAGTTTCCTACAACGTAATATATTCATATTTTTCAAGTCGATTTAACTTCGTTACGGGTATTAAGCACTAGGAGTATGGGTGTGTTTGTTTCAAATAAGCACATCAAGACTCGAATATACTCATGAGACACTAATTCAGGACATACACAATCGGCTAAGTCTTTATCAAGACTGCACAACCAGAACTGACGGAGAAGAAACCCTTGGTTTAACGTCTGTAGCAGCATTGTCGGTTGTTGGGATATAACATTAGTGTACATATCCTTTTCAAAGAGAGGCAGCAAGCTAAACTAATAAGAAGCACAAATCAAGCCAAGGATAGTAGCTCGAAACAATTCTTCCAACTATGGAATTTCGATAAGCACGACACGCACCTAACTGGAACGGAAAGCAGCTCTAAGTCGTGGTTTTCCGACGCCCAACTCTAGCCACGAATCCAGCTTTAATCTGGGCCACCGATCGTGAGCATCCACACTACACAAAACACATATAGTTACACCATGGCGATTCGGTAAAACCGTTAAGAGATATGTGTATAACTCGGAAAACAGCATTGTCTGGGAAAAAACAACCGAAGCATTCAACCCAACCGACACACACTAAGCTTACTTGTTCACACCGAAGAAAGAACAACCGATTCTCTTTTGACAGAATTGTATCGGGACTCTTGCATCCGTTGCACATCACGTACTCATCTATACCACACAGAGACCACCGCCACCAATGTGAACAACGCAATATGTCAGTTTCTGCAAACGAAAAAAAAAAAAAATCTGAAATAACATGAAAATTTGAAGCTCATGATGTTAAGTTGGAAGCCGATCTGGTCGGTAGTCACTTACTGACATATCGACGTAGAATACCCTCAAAATTCTTAGGAGCAAAACGCCCCTTCACGACCAGCCGCTGCTGTCCATCGAGAGAGCCACTTGTACCGAGTTCAGCAAGAAGGAAAGCCATAACGTGCTCGGGTTGTCGATGCATCCTAATAACATGCATAATTCGAGTGTTAATTGCTTGCGGTAACTTTATGTACAAGATACTTGGAAGAGAAAATATGCGACACGAAATGCCAAAAAATATATAAAAAGCAACAACAACGCCGGTGAAAAATGTGAGAAATTACGTCTTGCAAAGGTCCATGAAGTTCACGAACACAGTCTTCTTTGTACCCTCTCTAAGCACTTGAGGTGGTCTCATTATAGTTCGTCTCTTCTCTCCAGCGAGCTCTGGATTGTTTTCACGTAAAATATTGAAAACTCTCCCTAGAAGCTGTATGCATGTGCGCCATAGAGACAAATCAGAACGAGTGGATATCACACCATGACGCGAGATACTAGTACTTAACTGTACTCAGCACGGTAGTGAACAACAGAGTGTGCTAACCTCTTCATACTTGTAGTCCCGATCGGTACCCTCCCAAGGAAATCGGGCCTCCAGAACAATGCCCTCTGCTTCTTCCTCTTCATCCTCGTCCTCGGCGGCCTCCCCTCCTACGTCGCCAAGCGGCACAAAGTAAGAACAATGGTAATTAAGAGCTAAAAAAAGAAGGAATAATTACAGGAATAAATAATTACCGTTAACTTCAGCAATCGTCTCTCCATTTTCTTCTTCAAATTCGCCTTCCACCTGTCAAGAGCAGAGATAGTTGAGATGACTTGTAGGACACCAACTTTTGCTGTATACTTCGAATTAGTCATGCTCATGACGAGTGTTCTGCTCCGTGTTCCTCTGAGGTCTAGGCTAGAACGTGCAAGATTCAGATCTCCATGACATTGAATCCCTGCCGAGGACGCGCAGGCAAGCCTTGACGCCGTACGATACCCGATCAAAAACACGAAGAATTATGCAAGAGACCAGAAAGTCCAAAGATCGAGCTGTAGACCTCTGTAATGTGAATTAAGAGTAAAGAGTTCTACGACAAATGCTCAGGTAGTGACCGAGGTTGATGAGTAGTCATCATAATAGCGGACAGGAAAGAGTCAAATCTGAATAAGATAATGAAACCTATGACCCATGTAACGCAAAGATGCAGTTGAACTCAAAGCTTTGGCCAAATGAAGGGTTTAATCCATCTGCAGAGGAATCTGAGAGCCAGTAAATGAGAGGCGATGCAAACACGCATCTTTGCAACGAAGCACTCAATTGACTCAGATAAACAATAAGTGAAGGTAGACATGGTGAATTTTGTGAAGCCGCTTCCAATTGCACGTGTGGCAAACTGTCCATGCCGAGTCAGAATCAGTATCACAGCAGCTTTAGGGAAACCGTCAAGCAGGACTCGTCCTCAAAGCACATATGACAGTAATTTTTTCTCGCAAGGCATGAGCCAACGAGTATTTAAGTCTCAGCTTCCTTCAGATCAAACACACCTGAAGCGACTGAGCTGAATGCGAACGGACATAGCTTTGACTCAGATAAAATCATCCTCCCGAGTCCTATTCCTATTTTCAACTTGAGAGCTGATCTATCGTACAATGGCCGTGTCATCCAAGTCGACAATGGCGTTACTCCTAGCGGTAGTCGTCCCTTTCGTCGTCCAGGGCAGCCTGGCTCAGGTTTGTGGAAGCCAAGCAGGAGGAGCATTGTGCAGTCACTTTGGGTATTGTGGTGTGGGAGATGCATGGTGCGGCGCGGGCTGTCAGAGCGATCCTCGCACATGTGGAACAAGTAGAAGGTGTGGTAGAGATGTTGGAAGCGCAGTGTGCGCGGGAGGTCTTTGCTGCAGTCAGTACGGGTATCGTGCGAGTACCTGTGAATTCTGCGGAACGGGCTGCCGAAGTCAGTGCTCATCAACTCCATCGTTCTTGTCGGAGCGGCCTTGGGGGAGTTGTATCCGAATCCAGGTTCAACTACCTCTTTCCTATTCGTAATTTTGTCTACACTTGGCAAAATTTTGCGTTGTCGTCCGTGCGGGAAAATTGACTCAAAGATGCGGATGTGTTGTAAGATGGAAAGGGCAGATAGGTCGGCCTTGGAAGCGATTAGGGTTACTTACAGGTTTCTTCTTCTTCTTCTTCTTCATTCCCGCGAAAGACGAATCAATACCATCTCCGGCTGTGGAAGTCAGAGCTAGGCTGTCGACCTTCTCTGTAACTTTGTCGACAGCCTCTAGATCTTCCTCCTCGGCCACTCGTACTTTCTTCTTCTTCTTTTTCTTCGTAGGATCAAATGGATGAATCTGTACAAATACAAGAACGAACGGGCAATCTAAGTAATCATGACTACCCGTGCAAAGAGTTGAATTCCAGCTCGAAAACCGATCTCTCGAAAGTCGATGTCTACCGAGTCTTGCGACCCACGGGCTTACCTCCCCAGGCGCCGCTTCTTCCTTCACCTCGGGTAGCACTTCCGGGTGCTCCTCCTCAGCCATTTTCACGAGAAAACGAGGATCTAATACAACTCCAGTCGTAAAGTCCTCCGGAGTTGAGAATTATGGGATGTTCACTGAAGAATGTGATGAAGAAAGAGAGGACAGTACTGTCGATGTTGGCTGCTATTGCTGGTGGCTTTGGTGTTTAGGGCAGCACACTCACGGAAGAATTACAAAGTCGGAAGTGTTCCGGAGCATATCACATACTGTGGCGCCTGTTCGAGTTAAAGTTCTCCATCTCGGCCGACGGTGTCGTTGGTGGAGCTCCGGTTCTGCGAGGTCTTGTCGGCGGCGACATTCTGGCCCTCCGCCTTCCGCGACGTCGCGTCCTTCGCTGCGCCCGCTTCGTCGGCGGCCGCTTCCTTGGCCTGCGCCGTCACCGTGTCTTTGGCGTCGGAGGCCGCCCGCTTGGTCTGATCCCAGACGGCCCTCGCCGTGCAGGACACGGCCCTCGCCGTGTCCTGCACGGTGGCAGCCCCGTCATGAGCCTGCCCTGTCTTCTCCGCGCCGGTCTCCCGGGTCCGATCGGCTGTGCTGCTCAAAGCGTTCTTCGCCTGATCCGTCTTCTCGGCGGTCGTGTCGTAGCTGCTGCTGTACTGCTCCGATGCCATTTTCGCCGGCGAGAAGAAGGCAAAGATCCCAGTTCAGATAGAGAACGCAAAGTTCTAAACTAAGTTGTGGTAACGAAAAGCTATTTGGTAGCAAGCATCCATGACATAATCCCAATTGTCGCGCGACTGAGAACGGGGGACCAAGTAATATGTCCGAGAGGATGAGGTACACTGAGAAGGTATCTTACGCGTCTGCTTCTATCTGTCACAGGCTTAGTTGGCTTCATAATACAAATCCAAACCTCATAAAAGTAAGCAAGCAATATTCAACAAAAAGTACGGGAAGAGAGAGATGAACCCGAAGGAGTAACATAGAGTAAGGTAAAAGATAGTAAATATGTACTACTGCATCTCATACAGATATACATAACCTCTGTATATAACATCACTCTCATCTACCCGGGTACATGTTCAAATCATCATTTACTATAGTTGTTATATATGTGGAGAACGTAGATAATGTTGGATTATATATTCACCTTTAAAATCATCAGCACTTTCAAAATCTTTCACTTTCATTCACTTTTAAAATCATCCTGCATCCAATTTTTAAATTGAGGACTTTCACTTCGGATAATATAACCGTGATTGATGATTGATTTTGATTCTTGATTTTATTAAAAAATATCTTGACATCTTTTTATTTACATACTATTTTCAGATGTTAAAATCTCGTGATTTTGCCATTTGCATCATTGAAGATGTTGATGAACTCACATCGCAGTAATCATAAGTTTAGGGTATTAGTTTTTTCTTCAAATTTTTATGAAACATATTTTCCAAACACAAGGTTTATAATAATCTTCATATTATATCTTGTTGATGTGTAGTCCATAATGTTATTGCAAATATGGTAAATGGTAATAGATCAAACCCAGTGGACCCAAGGGTCAAAAGGCTGAAAAACACTATACAAACGACAACCACAAACAAGTGAAAAGACTTCAAAGTCCAATTGTATCCAAATTAGTTTTGAGAACATGCATTCTTATATCATAAGTTTAATATGCTTTAATTTACTTGTATGATTTTGCAATATATATAAAAATTTTATGCGTAATAAAACAAAATATGTGGATTTAATGCAAAGCTTTCTTGCAAGATGTAAAGGAAAAAAGATGTCTCTAATTGAACACACATGATAAACAACTAATTCAAAAAATATAATCTAAGAGTAAAAACTCTCAAAATAATTGCAATTTTTTGGATGATGCAAATAATTTATATCTTATAGTATACAATTTTATTTTTTATTTTATTCAAAGAATATAAATCTCCCTTGAGTTAACATTTTTGTATTATTTTATATGTGAGAAGTTAAACCACTTTTGGAACCTGTTTTGAAAAAAACAAACTCCAAATTATCTATATATATTATTGAATTTAATATTATGCATAAAAATAGAATTAAATATTTCCTTAACAAATTGTATAATATCATGTATTTAAAATATATCTATAATGTATTTGAAAATTCCATCTTTAATATTTTTTTATATACAGTATCTGAAATTGCATATATTTTTTGTTAAATCATATAGATATTTTGAAATTATTCCAAATGTTAGGGTTAAATTCATGCTTCTAATAATTTAAATTAGTTTCAAATACAATTGATGAAGTTGATCAAAACCGTTATTGTATACAAAAAAGCTCACAAAAGCTTTATGTAACATATTTTGGGATTTTTTATCCAATATAACCTTTGTTAACTTGTGAACGTGGTCAATTTTTACAAACCACGTGTGTTTAGTATTGGCACAGGTACATTTTTATTTGTGTTGATTGATTGTGCTTGTGTGTTCTTGACTATCCTTGTAGATTCACTCATCAATTGAACAAAAATAATTTTCTACTAGTTTCATGTGCTCTGGATTAACAATTGTGTTTTGATCAATTGTAACTACCTTTAATTAGTTCAAACTAAAGCTAAAATGACTCAAAAAAAAGATGCAACTTGAAATGAACAATCTATAATTACAATGCCAATTATTTTTGTGCTTGTTAAATAAAAAACAAACATGTTAATTAGCAATATGTATGTTTGTTAGATAAGAATCGAATGTGCTGGTTAGTGTGTTAATTGAAGGTGACACTTTAGTAATTTGCAAGGTTAATTGTCATGTTATTCAACCACTAGCATTGTAATTGATGGTATGATAAGGTGTTACATGCTTTAATAGGATAAAAATAACAATATTTTGAACCATTTTAGTAACCTGTCATTTCTAGAGTTTGTGTTTATTGTTTAAGTGAAGTTAGTTCTTGATCTCTAGTGTTAGAATAGCATCAAGAGTACCTCATTCTTTCCTGGAATGTGGTTTACTACTCATAAATTAGCAAGAAAGTGATGATGGATTAGAAGTTCTTGAAACTTTATAAAGTCTAGCCATTGTCATTGATTGACTTGTAGAGAGATACAAAAACAAATGATTTTATTTTTGCACATATAAAAAATTCTGACTAGAGATCAATATCACAATATTTAATCTTCAATTTTGTTGACAATAAAATTTTTTTCATTGACAATTATTATTTTTTAATGTACATTTTGACGTATTAGATTGTAAATTTGATATCAAAGTGATGAAATCAAGATCATTGAAAATCAATTCTTTTGTTTGTTAGTTAAAAAAAACATGCAATAACATCATTTACATTTTATACTTCATGTAAAATGATTTTGATAAGTGAATCATTTGTTTTCTATTTGATATAATACATATATAGATATTATGACAATGAACCAACATAAGAATGCGATATAAATTGTTGTGAAAAATATGATGAATATTTTAAAATATATTCATTATAAATTTTTCACTTTTTGTGATTGATATTCAAAAAAGTTGGATATTTGCCATACTTATTTGATGAATAAAATAAATCTTGAATTTATCACATAACATAAATGGTGTACTGAATGTGATCGTAATCAAATTACAAAAAGGTGAAAAAATGATGATTTATAATAATAATCAATAAAACTATCTTATTAAAGAGTTAAACAAGTAGAGATTTAAAAACATAAAGAAATGATGATTGAAACATTGATACTAAAGGCTTTAATTCAAATGGGATAAAGATCAAACCTATATATTGCTTTGAATGACAAATTTTCGAAAGATGGAAGTAGACTAGAGCACTAGTTGTTTAGAAAATTAGATTATGATTATGAATACACATTTATATCATTTAAATATTCTTGATTATATTGCAAAAATGTTCATGAAGTTTTATTCCATGAATAATATTCTTATACGATATACTAGATGTAACAAATGTTATTAAAACAAGATGCTTCAATTTCATAGAGTGAAATGTAGAAGAATATTCTATAAAATTATCAAGTTATTGATTCTATTCAAATAGCAAGATTTTATTTGTAAATTTAAATTGTTGATCTTCATGTATTCATACAGATCTAAATGAGAAAATTTCTTAAATGTGTGCAAACATGTATGTGAAGATTTTTTGATTTTTTATAACAATTAGTGTTTTTTCATTTAGTTTGTTATATTATGAAAATAATTAGTCATCATTCTAGTGCTTTTGGCACTAGTTAAGGCATGACCTTTAGGATTTTTTCCCTAGTAAATAGATGTTTGTCTTGTATTGTGTTTTTTAAGCCATTTATACTTTGGATCCCACAAGCTTGGTTTATTTATCATTTACCATTTATCAGTTATGACTATGTACATAAATTTGGAAAAAAATTTGCTATATAGCGTAATATGCAATTTCTAATTCAGAACAAAACGTGAAAGTTATTAGAGCTTTCAACAAATGGTTGTTAAAAACTGGTTGAATAAAACAAAGACAATTCTTTAGATGACAAAATAAAATATCTCAAAGCTAGGTTGGTAGCTAGTAGTTCCACATACCAAAAAAAATGTGGACTACAATGAAGTTGATTTACTTGAAACAAATTACACTACAGTTTGAATGACATGTATATTTGCCAAAATAGTAGTCTGGTTTTGTATTAGATGTATGTAGTTACATTTGTCTAAAAAAATATAATTATTTGAAATTATCAATTTGCTTAAAAAAATCAAAGAATCTATTTTTTAGATTGTCGAAATTTTTAGATTGTTTAGATTATTTTTAAATTTTTAGATTGTTGAATCAAACAATTTAGATGTGAAAAGAAAGATATGATGAATTCATATAAGAAAAAAATTTCACAATGTATGAAACATGTGTATACATGAAGAAAAGTGTGAATAATAAGATTTTTAAATTCATGATTGTAATACATTAGATGTATCACATGCTCATTTTAACAAAATATCAATCAAAAGTTAAATCCAACGATAGAAAACACAATGAAGCACATCAACATAAGATATTATTGAATCAAAATTATAAATTATGAGAGAATTAATTGAACTCCTCAAGAATGCCCAAAAAATACTATAGAGTTGATGCCTTTATTGCCGTTCTAAATTTAAATAAACATTGTGCTATTTGCATGAGGAGCACATGTAAAGTTCATTTTAACTTTAGTTTGTATGTATATATTCTAAAGTACGCTTGTATCTAATTAGCTCGCGTTTACACATTTACCTATGTTAGTTTAGTGCTATAACTTGTAAAATAAGTTTATAGTTTATGGAAGTTGCATTCTCCAAGACAAGAGTTAAGAAAAGATTCATTATGAGATATTTCACGTCTTGGTTCTGCATGATTAACTTTATTTTTATTAGTTAGTCAGTCACTATATATTAAAGCTTATTGGAGTTTTCATCTCCTGAAATAGACATTTTGTGAATAAACACTAAGTTGTTGCAAGAAATGTCACAATAAATGTTTTGAGAATTCAAAATAAGGTCACGGCAAGACTAGTCATTTATTTTTACTATAGTTGACATGAGCATATTTTAGAGTGATGATGCATTTAGTTTTTCATGTTGGCTTTGTGTTTGTGTTCAATTCTACAAATGAATATATGATTGTTTGCATAATGATTCAACAATATATATATATATATATATATA